CGGCACATCAAATTTCATTTAGTTCTACTGAAAAACTGTTTCACAGCCTGCGGCACTTCAAAAGTAATATTACATTTTTGAGTACAACAGCATTGAACTCTCTTGCAGTAAGTACTCATAATCTCTGTGCAAACGTTCACCTCCAGCATCTAATCATATGCGAAATGTAGTACTTTCGAAAGCTTGTGCAACTTTTTCACTTTTACTTCCATCTAAGTTTATATTATTTTTGTTTTCTAAAATTGTTTTGTTTTATGTGCGAAGCAAACATACATACATACATACATGCGTATAAGTTAGTTTACGTGTCATCGCTGTAGTTGAAGTGGTGATTGTCATGCTATAAATGCAACTAAACTGTAAACTGAGTTGCTGCCACAACAACAACAACAACAACAATGGAAAGTATTACAAGTGTTTCCGCATCGATGGCAAAATGTCAACATTTCCTTCTCATTGCCATGCAAACGAAATGAAATTTCCCACATACTACTACTACCCGCTAGATACCGTAAATATGTAGAGTACGTGCCTACGTATGCATGCATGCCAGCTGAAGGGGGATAAATATGTAATAACATGAGTATTAAGCTTGCAAAAATGTGTCAAATGTGAAAAATGATGTTAAAAGTAGCAAAGCGGAAGCATTAGAGGCAAATATCTAAAGCAAATATTGAAGTGTTTACTGTCAGCAGTTACGACAAACTAGTGGTAATGGTAATATTTGGGGAGACCGCAAAATCGATTGGATATACGAATAGGCAGGTAATACCGCAGTTGGCTGTTATTCTTCTTGTTTGGCACTAAAACCGCCTAAGCGATTTCGACTGAGTTCAATAAAGAGCGCCTCTTGTTGGCGAGGATGCTCTATCTTTTGGTCGTATTACCAACTTCCGGTTTAGACCGGAAGTGGACTAAACATACCGGACGTCCATTTTTTAACCGGAAGTCCATTCTAGAAATAAGTTTCCATCAAAGGTAATGTATTTTTATCCGCAGAATCAGAAATTAGTAAGAAGATGTATGTATATCCAATTTAAAAGAATGGACTTCCGGTTAGTTTAACCCACTTCCGGTTGAAACCGATTCGGCGGGTCATAATTTTGCGCTTTTCAATAGAAAAAAAATACTGTTCCCTCCATTTTAAACGAGGTTGACACCCTGTAAAGGCATTTTAAAAGAGGGAAGTATATTTTTACAAGTACCAACGTTCAGTTACATCATTCTAAATATGCACCCCATGCAGCTACATAGATTTCAAAAATATATAACCAGTCTGTAACGCCCAAACTATATTTTCAATAATATCTGTACGTGTTTAAGAGATTTTAATGTAGTATTTTTTGTACTTTTATTTATTTCAACTTACAATAATGGACTCTCGTACGCTTGTGGCTAACGCTATGAGCTAAGTTGCTCTTGTTGGCCTGTGTTTTTTTGTAGTTTTTTTTTTTTAAATTTTTTTCACTTCCCTCTCGTCTATCATCTCTTTCTATGCTACGCTCAACAAAGTGTTGCCCGAGTGCTTGCATTATGCACCGCACTTGCACGTATTCCCTGCTGGCAGATTGCTGTATATGTACATATGCACACAAGGATTTACCCTGCAGGAAATGTATCTAACTATAAGCTAACTTTAAGTTGATTAGGGAGGAGCTAAAAGTCACTATTATCTGTATATTTTCTTTGACGAAAGCTAACTATATTTCTATGGCGATGGCCGCGAAATAATCAAGGGCAGTTGCCTCTGCATTTGATGTAACTAACTTGTCACTAACTACTGTTGGACATAAAATATCAATAGGAAAAACAAAATATTTTTTTTATTAATTTTTTTTATTTACTTTTTTTTATTTTATTTCATTTGATATTTGTTTACATATTCTGCTGTAGGTGGTCCCATATTCGAACTCCGTCAGACATAACTTCAAAATGATAATATGAAATTTTGATCATCCTTTTATTTGTCCTCCATTCGAAAAAGTATTTGCGAAGTCCAGGATATTTAAATAGAAACGCGATTAACGAAAACAGTCTCCTGCATTACTTGTCAACTAGTTTCATGTTAGCTTTTTGTAGCTAGCTAGTACAAGCTATATATTTTATAGAAATCCCGAAATCAATTCACAATTTTTTCTGCAGGGTATTAATGTAGCTTACGTATAAATAAATCTGGTTGTCTGGTTGCAATTATGCAAATGAAAACGTTTCGTACCACTTGAGGGTAATACTTAATGACTATTACTTGAATATTTTGTTTTGATGAAATTTTAATGCGAACAGATTTATATTTGGTACGGTGCTCGAAAATGTGTGCGTATGTATTATACCGTGCTCTGCCGTGCTGTGCCATGGCAATGTGAAGGTTGATGAAGTGCTTTTGTGCATCAGGTAACAATACATGAATTTCCAATCTACTTAAAATGCAGCAAATGCAGCAAAATGAAAACCTCTAATGAAAGTGAAAAAGTATTATACATATTATGGATTTGCATGAATTTGCATGAATTTGTGTGGAATTTCATTTAACTACTTTTTGAAATGTAAATTTGTTTGTGGTAATATATTTTAATTAGTTCCGCATCCTATCATTACGTTGTTGCTTTCAAGTGCTAGTCTGAAAATATCGCTCCTTGACCTGAATACATTGTAAATTCTCTGTTTTTATAATTTGCTGCAGTTGGGCCAAATTAGGCTGTTGACGTTCTCGATAACCAAATTGCTATTCCGTTATTAAAATTATTGTAGCCAACTTCAAGGTCTCTCTGCGCTTAGTGTCAGGGGATACCAGAAGTAAGAAGTTTTCGGTGAAGCTGATTGTAAAGAGGCGTAATTCAATAGAGCTCTGCATATTGAAACGCTACACTGTATCCAAAGTAAGGTTGGGGCTTTCAAATGAGATGCATACAGAATATTTGATACACTTTTTTTTCAAAAGCTGTTGACAAATTTAGACACCCGGAAAGAGAGTAGGTTATCCAGTACCATAGAAAATTTTCATTTTCGAGTGAACTTGAACCCTTGTCATTCGCTTCCTAATTTATGTTGCTCCTCGTGAAAAGAAAAAAGTTATAAAAAATCTCAGCGCATTGCTAATAGGGGAGCTTATTTATGTACATAAATATATATATATTTTTTTTTTACTTTACTTGTGCTTACAGATATGGCCATTTATGTGACATGAAGGAGATTGGGCTTTTGTACTGAGCATCCTCTCCAGTTGTTAGAAGATCTAAATTTGTTCAGTACTTTATCTTTATAGTGTCAGTGATATTCAGTTCTTACACCCCACCAGCTAAGGTTAAGCATTCGTTCATAGACTTCCTAACAAGGAGTTATATTCCTTGGATTGCTTTTTTAACTTTTGAGATACCTCAATGGGCTGCAACGTGAGAGTCCCCCACCTTATTAAAGGCTCTGCCGTGTATCCCTTATATAGACTGCAGAAAGATTGAGGGCCATGGCAGCCCTGTTGGGTCGCTTATTTTACCAAAGTACCAACCCTTTTGTTGCCTTCATTACCTAGAACTAACCATAAAATAAATTTGTTACGCGTTCTTGGTTTATCCAGCACAATCTTGCAAGGGTCTACTAGCCTTGACACCGGGTTACGTGCGCCCGTTAGTCTTTCTACCAAAAAAAAAATCATGGGAACAGTTTTCAGTTGCGAAAATTTACACCCCAGTACTCCCCTCATCAAGTTTGCATTGCTGGTCATAGGGCCAGTTTCACAGTCATTACTTAAATTTTCCGCTCCGTTGTTTCTACCGTTACCCTCAACGTCCACAAAAAACCGTTCGGCGTTCTCGCTATCAAATGTCCGCTAACTATTTACAAGATAATGCCCTAGGTGGTTATGCCTTAAGGGCTAGACACATAACTCCGTCACTTATGGTATAGACACAAATCGCCTTATTATGCCTTGTATACAATAACTTAACTTAAAGCTTAGTGAAGATTTACTATATGCTCTTACAAGATTATGAAAGAAAAGTTTTTTTTACAGGTGTAAGCAAATAAGACATTTTGAAGTTGTAAAGTACTTTGCCTACCTAGGATAATACCACCAATAATTCCAAGCCAGATATCAGTCGAAAGATAACTCTTACCGACAAGTGCGACTTTGGGCTCCGTAGGCACACTCTTCACGAATAAAAAACATGCTCTGAAAATATTTCATCACACTGGTCCTCTTATATGGCACAGAAACGTGCACGATGGCGAACAAAGATGGTAAGGATTTGGAGGCTTTCAATAGAAAAACAAGTGCAGCAGAACATGTCCAAACATGGGATGAACGACTGGTTTAACTTCGCAAAGGAGATAAGCAATTAACCAAGTTTTTTAGTCCCGACCCAAACCGATAAACGGTTGCGGTGCCAAATATGTAGGACCCTTGCAGTGCTGAAATGAGAAACTTCATTAGGACAGCCATTTACGGTCACACAAATACATAAATATCAGAGTATGAAACCGGAAAAAAGCCCAATAGTAAATTGTATTCTGTAGCCAGACGTGGGAAAATGAAAAAATCCTGAGAAATTCTACTAAAATGCTTTTCTCTTTGAATGTTCTATAGCGAAATGTTACTGATAGTTCATGATCACTTAGATAGTGGCCAGAATAGTTCGTAAAACCCACCCAAGAAGGTTATGTCTGTTCTGGTTAAGCGATTATGGCATTACTGATGAGACTGTATTCTTTGGGGATATCGAGTTGATATTCTAGGCACAGACGATGGCTATACGGCGGCAGTACGAAGCCTCAAGAGTCCGCACAATGAGATAAAGTAGTAGAAAGTACTAAAAGCTTATCTAGATTCCCTCTTTGCTCTAATAGTCTGGGCTCGCTTGAGACATTCCTACTTCCGAATTGTCGAAAGTGCACCTTAGGTTCGAACTAGGTTGCGAACTGTACAGACCAAATATTGTAAGTACTAAATATACATCACAAATATCTGCAATGAATGAAAAAATAATTGAATTTCTAATGTCACTTACCGGTTCGGGTGGCACCTCATCGAGCACCTTTGGCTCGCACTTTTCCTCCACAGTGCTGTTCGCTGCCGCTGTTACGTTACTCGTAGCATTACCAGAACCCACACTTGCTTCTACTGGCGCACCGCTAGATGGGGCGAGCGTCGTCGATGACAGTTTAGTTGTTGCACTGCGTTTGGTAACGTGTTTGTGCTCCAAATTCTCCGCTAACTCACTGTCAGTGAGCAACGCAGTCGCATCGGTTTTTGTGGACGCTACGCCAACATCGTCGAACTTGGAACCATAGCGAATGTTAGGCAATAATTCACGACCACCATCGTCGCGTTGGTAATTACGATGCGTGGCAGATTGTTGGCGTTGTGGCTTCTGATGTGCCTGCGTCTCTTGCTCAGTAGCATGTTGCACGCGTCTATAGAACACCAGCAACTGTTGTTCATTGCTATTCAACTTTCGGTTGGACGCCTGCTGCACCAGCTGTTCAGTTTCAGTTTCAGTTTCATCCTCATCTTCATCTGCGTACAATGCTTCCTGTGCTGGCACCACCACTTCTTCTGCTTCGTCAAGCTCGCCATTGGAGGGTGCCGGCGGTGACGCCGCATCATCATCCTCTTCATTATCCAACAAGTTAATGCGCTTCACCTGCACCTGCACCAGCGCATCCGCATCTGCATCTGCATTAGGGTCAACAACCATTTCCGCCACGTCTGCTTCGCCAATGGGAAATTTGTAGCGCATTAGACGCGGCTCAATAGTGCTGCTGGTCGCGGTGCTGAGATCAGCGGCAATGATGGCCGCATGTGCAGCGGATGCGCGAGCCAGCATTGCTGCGGCAGTCGCGACGGCGGTGGCGGCGCTGGTGCTGGTGGTGACCATCGCATGTGGCAGTAGTTTCGGCGCAAGCAGTACGCCTGTGGCAGCTGCAGCTGTACTTGTCGCTGCGAGGATTGGAGCTGTTGCCGTAAATTGCGCAGCGCCGAGCAGCGCCAGCAACCATAGCCAAGTAAGTCGTTTCATACAACCGCACACGATTTTCGAAAGGGTTTTTGTTTTCGTCACAGCCTCCGTCACAGCTACAATTGCTATGCTACAGGAAGTGGCAGCTGCAGTGAAGCGTCCACGCTTATTGACCACATTTGGATTTGTTGATGTGCGTGTAGGCTTTGCCGATGGCGTGCGTATGTTGGTGGGTGTGTGCGTCAGCAGCAACGGTGGCATTGGCCATCGATGATGATAAATGGGCGATAGTTCGGGCTCTCGTTGGCACTCCTTCTGTTGTTGCTTTTGCTGTTGCCCATTGGTGCTGTATGTGTGTTGCAGTGTTTTCGGCTGTTGTTGTGTAATGATTGAAGGTTTAGGCCTTGTGTAGTGTGGGTTTTGTTGTTCCAGTTGTTGTTGGTTTTGAGTTTTATGTAGTCGTAGGTGGTTCGTTCTTTCGCTTTGCTTTTGGTGGCATTTCCGTTGGGCTAGTTGAAGTAGTTGTTGTGTTGTTTGTTGTGGCTGCAGTTCTTCTTGTTGTTGTTGTTTCTCTTGCAGTTTATTTTGGGTTTTTTGATTAGCTTTCCAGCGACATTTCCCCCGCACTTCCATATCCGTTTATGGTTTCGGCGTTTTTGCCGCCCTATTTCACGCGCACACGTACGGGGTACAGATAATGCGTTAGTACCCTTTTAAGCTGTTAATCAATTGGAAATTTTTACCCAAATGTGGTACTTTTGGGATTAGTGGTCTTTGCTGTAGTTGTTGGAAGGGTTCGTTCATAAAAGTAATTTGCAGGTTGAATTATGCCTGGAAGAAAAGAAAAGTCAGATATACATTAATTAGTACATTTAAATTAATTTAAAAAAAAATTGTGTAAACTTTCACACATTTTGTCATGGAACTCCACACTTTCCATTTAAGGTCAACCCAGTTGGCCAACTTCAAACACGAACACCCCAGGGACCGTACCAGTTACAACTTTTATTAAAAAAATCGCTCTTTAACAATTATTTTTTGACTTTTATATAATTACTCCTTAAATTACCGTTATTTCGGTCTTTTATTATATAAATCAAAAATAACAGTTATTTTTGATTTTGATGTAAATAATCTGCAAATAACAGTTATTTTTGATTTTTATAATATATGTCTTAGAATAACCGTTATCGAAGACTTTCATTTATTAAAGTCGTAAATAAAAATCAGTCACTAACCTTTATTTTTTAAATCATACTTATAAAAGTAATTTGTATAAGTCGTAGTAAACTTTTGTTTCCCAACAGCTTTTTAACTTCGAAAAATGGTAATGACTTTTATACGAATGATTTAAAAAATAAAAGTCGGTGACTGATTTATATTGATGACTTTTAAAAGTAAAGTGTAAAAGTTATCTCTAATATTTGAAATATAAAAATCAAAAATAATTGTTATTTTGGATTTATAATATAAAAATTAAAAACAATTGTATTTTTTTTTTTTAATTTTGCATAAATTTTGAAATTCTGATGAAAGTCGGATAATAATTTCATAGAAAAATAACAAGAAAAGGTTTAACTTGAAGCAGTGAGCACGTGAACACTTGTATAAGTCACTGTATATGTATAGATATATGCATGTATGATGTATGCAGATAGCCAAGAGTTCCGCCGAAAGATGGCAGTCAGATTAAAAGTTACAGGACGTTTGTCTCAGCGGACACTGTACCAAGACAAGCAAGAGCGTGCATCAGAAGTAGAATTTAAAAACTATGCCGCCGTTACCAATTTTTGCAAACCCTAAGGCCCAGTTGTTATCTCTGTAAGGGGTACATTTGAATCTCTACTTAACGTGTAACCTTTTTGTTTCCCTTCTAAAAAAAAATATATAATTTTTATTGTTTTACATTAAAGTCGTCGAAAGCGAGCTCGCAAACAACATTGCAAGCACATAAAGTGCCAATGGCAACTAAGCTAATTAACAACTTCAATTTGCAATGCCTCTGAATGCAGCAACTACTTTTGTATATAAAATAAATGTACGCCTGAAAAAGTTACGTTGGGCATTGTCGAAACTTTAAATTGAATTCGAATGCTAATTTCCATTTTGAGAAGAAAGTTTTGTCTCGTTGTCATGCGAATGGTGGATGACGTCTGGTTGCTTGTTCTTGTACCAGAAAGATGACGTCTACATGTTCGGCTGCTGCAGTGTGTAGAAATTTACAGAAAAAAGGTGTATATGTATGTATGTACTTCTTTCCATATTGTGTAAAACTCTGTGCGAATTTATGTACTTGTTGATGTTTCATTGTTATAAATTTCTGCTTTGTACCTAAAATGAAAGGGTAATATTTTATAGGCTTGTAATTGATCACATAAATCAACATCGTTTCACTATTACAGAAGAACTAAAGGAAAAGAAAAATTTCGACCCACACTAATGTTTATGCATACATACATATATGCATGTATACAATATGTACATAGACTACTAAAAAGGAAACAGATCCACATTAACTGTTCGCGTAATTAGATCAGCTTTAGTCACAGAGTCCTAGTGCCGACCAAGTACGACTGATCATCCGCAGCTTTATTATCAATGTTTCGCCCCACTACCGAGGGTCAGGTGCAACTCTCGCTCCGAATTTGGTCGACAGATTGGTGAGATAAGAACCTCTTCATTGCGACTGTCGAAGTGCCACATCGCAAGTGCATTTGCAGTGCAAGGCTGTGTCAACGCCGGAGCCATCTAAATTTTCGTCAGATCTCGTTCAGCTTCTTCAAACACTTTAGCAGCGCGATAATGGCAAGTTTATAAACCTATATGTATGTCGGAAGCAAAATGGCGCATCATAAACGGCTTTCCAGGCATAGTGGAAGAAGACAGCTCTAGGAACGCTGCATCTGCGGCAGAGTCTGTTGAAAGGTATGTCTACGAGCCAGTGTCCTGAACAGACAACCGTGAGTTTTTAGCAGGCACCGAGTACGCGTTCCGGTTGTGGTTCAGTTTTGCATGAGAACAATATGAACGTTCCCACAAAAGAACCAAACGGAAACAAAAGTATTGAGAGCAGTTTGAACGGGAAAAAATGAGAACCAAAGGTTCGAGAACTTTTCCGTAAAGAATAAAATGCGAACAAAACTCTCGGGAACGTTCTCGAGAAGAACAGAATGAGAACGAAACTTTCGGGAACGTTTTTCAGTGATAACAAAATGAGAAAGAAAGTATCGATAATGTTTTCAATGAGAATTAAATAAGAGCAAAAGCCTGGGAAACGTTCTGCTAGAGAAAAAAAAAAACTCAAACAAAAGTTTTGAGAACTTAACGTTAAGAATGAGCACGGCGTCTGCGTTTTGGGATGAAAAAGTCATTTTAATGGAAACTATGATTGTTAATTGTAAGCCAGAGGAAAACTGGATAATTTCAACTTCCAGATCGTATATTGTTAGGGTGCACTCTCTTTTTGTGAAATAATTTTTCATTTTATGTGCAAGAAAAGTTCGTGTCTTAAGTCTTTCGTTCACTTAATTTGCATATTTATCTTTCAATTCTTTTGACGTAGAATACGTCTTACCTTAAGGTATGGGGGCTATGTTCAAATGTTGTAGTTGTAATTTTTAGAGCTTCACAAAAACGCTTATTGCACGAGAACTAATAAAGCGATTTCAAAGAAAAGTGTGGCGTTTCAAAGATAAAATTCCAAACCTGTCGACAGATTCATTTTTGTAAATAACCAATTCGGTTTCTGTCGTAAAAACAACGGTAAACATTGCCTTATTTTGGGGTCAATTTTGAGCCTTTAAAGTGCTCTAGCAACTTATTGTTGGCATATATAACTTTCATTTTCGGGATATAGGTTCTTTGGAGCAGTAGAAATATTATCGGGTACAAATTTTATATAAATTTAACAAATATTGAGCATTTTAAGGCAAAAAATTGTTGAAAAAATTTGCAAATTTTTTTCATTACCAAAATGCTCGAAAACCGCTCGAATGATTTTGTTTTTGTTTTCTTTAATCAAAAATTCAAGAGTTTTCCTTTCGTTTGGTATATGGGAAGTATTAGTTGATATCTTCTATATATGTTTATTTTATTCAAATATATGGGCATAAATGAATTTCCATACAAAATCACCTCGTCATCATTTTGCAAACACGTGCACGCATTGGAAGCGTGGGAAGGAGACAAAAAGTATGTATGTGTCCGTAAGTACATATTTCGGGGTTTATCCGTATAATAATCGATACTTTGTCGGTTTTATTACCGATGTTTTTATCGATTTTGCTATCGAAATTTTCATCGATAATGTTATTGATTTTGCTATCGATATTTTCGGAACTTATCGATATAATGATCGGTATTTTTTCGATTTTGTTATCGTAATTTTTTCTCGATTTTGTTATAGATATTTTGTTGACTTTGTTGTCGATTTTGTTATCGACACTGTAATCGATTTTATGATAGATTATTTATCGATTTTGTTATCGATATTTTTATCGATTTTGTTATCGATTTTATTACCGATATTTTTATAGATTTTGTTGTCGGTATTTTAATCGATTTTGTAATCGATATTTTTACCGGTTTTGTCATCGATATTTTTATTGATTTTGTTTACGATTTAGCTATCGATATTATTATTGCTTTCGTTATCGATATTTTCATCGAATTTGTTATCGATATTGTTATTGGTTTTGCTATCGATATTTTCGGAACTTACCGATATAATGATCGATACTTTTATCGATTTTGTTGTCGATATTTTTTATCGATTTTGTTATCGATTATGTAATCGATTTTGCTATCGATTTTGTCATCGATACTTTTATCGGTTTTGTTACCGATATTTTTATCGATTTTGCTATCGATATTGTTATAGATTTTTTTATAGGTTTTATATTCGATATTTTTATTGATGTTGCTATCGATATTGGTATCGATATTTTTATGGATTTTGTTATGGATTTTGTTATCGACTTTATAATCGATTTTGTTATCGACTTTGTTATCGATTTTGTAATCGATATTTTGATAGATTTTGTAATCGATTTTGTAATCAGTATTGTTATCGATTTTGCTATCGATTTTGCTTTCGATATTTTTTCGATTTTGATATCAATATTTTCATCGATTTCTTTATCGATGTTTTTATCGATTTTGCTACCGATATTATTATCGCTTTTGTTATCGATATTTTTTGCTTAGTGTGTGCTTTTGTTTTTTTACTTGGATATGCTCTTAACCATACCACGTATTCTACGTTTACATTTAGCGGCTGTATCTCCGATACAGCCTGCAGGCCAAGACGAAGGCGCTGGACTGTTCCTTTTTTTTGATTAATTTTAATATTAAAAAAATTCTAAGGAATGAAACGCTATGAGAGAAATTTCGTTCTCCGCCTTAATTATTCGCGAATAGTTCAGAGAGGATTCGTTCCCGTTTCGATCTCTGTCAGTAAGTTCCTGAGACTTAAGTTCCCAAATGGTTCTTCGAGAGACAGTTCCTTAGACTTTTGCTTCCGTTTTGTTCTTTTCCAAAACTTTCCAGAGACTTTTGTTCCCATTTTGTTCTCTCAGAAGTATTCAGAGATGCCTTCCAAAAAGTAGATTGGCATAACAAACAGAAAGTATTTTGTGCTTCACTTCACATTGCTCTTACGCTTTGATGAAAGTGGCAGTATTTTTGTAAAAATATCTGGCATAATCACAACCCTAGTCAACTCTTGTATATATGGATGTATGTATACATGCATAAGGTAGATAAAGCAAAGTCATTTATCTGCTCTGCTATTTTCGCATTAATGGACTCTCCCTACTGTAAGCATAAAATTC